GATAAAATACTTATTGACTGAGTTAAGTTGGGCCATCAGTTGGCTCTCGGTCATTTGTATGGACCTCGCTGCGCTCAGTCCGTACAGCATCACCTTGAGCCATATATTTTCCCATACGGCCCTCTCACTCAGTCAATAAGTACATAGTATATGCTGTATTAAATTTCCAAGGTGGAAAAAATGGCTTAGGACATAGATAGAATTATTACAAAAAGAGAGGTATTGGTTACACTACACTTTAGGTAAAACGTTGGTTTATCCTGGTTTTGGCTTCTAAAAATACTCTCTTTATGATTTATCGTGATAACGCAAGCTGCATTTTTCTTTACAAAGTAAAGGAAGTATTCTGCACTACAATGACRATGTATTGGCCACAATAGGTAAAACATTTTCGTTTAGCCTAGTTTTGGCTTCTAAAAGACTAGATTTAATTTACCTCTATGACTCGAGCTGCAAATCACTATACAAAGTAAAGAAAAGTATTCTGTATTTCTACGAATAGCGATGTATTGGCTACAATAGGTAAAACATTTTCGTTTAGCCTAGTCTTGGCTTCTAAAAGACTCTTGTTATTATAATAATTATTTACTATAATGACTTGAGCTGAACATGCTATTCAAAAAAAGCAATGAAATCCATGATACAAAGTTCTAAACCTTTAAAATAATCTTTTACACATTAAAAATCAAGATTCTTTACAGAAACTGGCTTTGTCTTTATCGACATTTTCAATCCTTAAAACATGAAAAAAAAATTTAATAAATTTCAGTAAAGAATTTAAATCAATTTCAATTTTCCATTTTTCTCATAGATCCCTCCAGTGAGAGCACAGCATCTGGTATAGAGAACCTTGCAGATGCCGTCACCCATGCCCGGTTTGTGGGTACAGACCCTAGCAGTGATGAGGTAGTGCTAATGAAGATCCTCCAGGTTCTGAGGACCCTACTCTTGACTCCCGTCGGGGCTCACATGACTAATGAGTCTGTTTGTGAGATCATGCAGTCTTGTTTTAGAATCTGCTTTGAGACTAGACTGAGTGGTGAGTATGGATAGATCGGTTCATATTAGACCTCTCGTGTGYGCTACTCAATCACATCACATGACTAATGAGTCTGTCTGTGAGATCATGCAGTCTTGTTTTAGAATCTGCTTTGAGACTAGACTGAGTGGTGAGTATGGATAGATYGGTTAATAATAGACCTCTCTAGCGTGCGCTACTCAATCAYRTCACATGACTAATGAGTCTGTCTGTGAGATCATGCAGTCTTCTTTTAGAATCTGCTTTGAGACTAGACTGAGTGGTGAGTATGGATAGATCGGTTCATATTAGACCTCTCTAGTGTGCTGGAYAAGCAGACGAGGGCTTTCAGAATGTTTTAGAGTAGGTCATAAATCTGAAGTAGCTGGTTATGATCTGATAGATTAATCATAWTTTTTCATAGAAAGAAATGTAGCTGGCAGTTAACTTCAAAGCAACTGCCGGAGCTCTGGCAATGCCAGCTTATTTTGAAAGCCCTGGCAAATATAAGTCATTAAAGAAACCTTTGATGATGATTGTGAATAACACATTGACTATTACAGTATATTGATTGAATGATGCTAATAATGTTCATAACAATTTCTAAGTCAGTATTTTATGTTTTTTCCCCAGAACTACTGCGGCGATCAGCAGAACAAACCCTTATGGACATGGTACAACTCTTGTTTTCAAGGTAATGATCTCAGTTGAATTCTTATCTATATTTCATACTGTTGTGATCTGGTGTTAATGTAGTTGTGTTTTTAAAAGGATGCCGCAGTTCAAAGAAGATTTTAAACCTGGGCAGATCCCTAACATCAGAAAGGTAAAGATGTAGGAAGTTCAACTCATCTTTCCTTCCATCCATCTATCTATCCAYCCATCCCGCTATCAATACATCCATCCCTCCATCCATCTATCTCATCTCATCAACTTGTCCCATCTTTTGCATGCATCTTTCCATTTATCTATTACCCATCTCACACAGGGATACTTCTCATYCATCTATTTATCCTATCATTCCTTCCATCCATTCCTCCATCCATCCGTCTGTGCATCCATCTGTCCGACTATGTATCCATGCACCCACCCTCCCTCCATTCACCCATCTCTCCCTCCCCCTATCTGCCCATCCATCCATAAATCTAATCGTCTGTCCTTCCATCCATGCATCAACCCACCCACTACTGTACTATACCAATCAGCCCAGGATCTATTCATCATTATTGTATTCCCACAGACCTTTTTCAAATTMATAAAATACCAATATGTTCCTTGAATTCACATTCAGGTTCATTACTCATRGTTAGCATCATTTCACCAGCAAAATATTCACTTGTAAATACCAATATAGTAGTTCCAAAAATTATCCATACCCCCCTCCCCCCATGGAGGAATTGTTTTAAGACACCCCCCTAACCCTGGAAATTCCAATTTTCTTCCATACAAACTCTGTAATTTTTGTTCTTTCTCTGACCCCCCTACTCTTCGGAAATTCCAAATTCCTCTGTGGGGTTGGTATGGATGATTTCTGGAACTACACAATATAGTAAAGAAAAGAATGCAAGCCTTCAAGTATACAAACACTTTGAGATTCCATGACATATTCACTGAACATGAATATTCTACACAAAGTCAAGACTAATCCTGAGCAATAAAGAATTTATAACTAGAGAAATTCATCTCAAAGCTTCACCCAAATTAACTACTCATTTAAACTTTAGGTATTTAAGAGAGCTGGAGCGATATCTTCTGGCAAGAAGAAAAAGCATGCATCACCCAAGCCCAGAAGAGCGCATCATGACAGCACACACTCAACCACGCCCACAGAAGAACAACCCAGCTCAKTTGAAATGGCAAATCAGCCACAAACCAAAGAGACAGCAGAGACCAAGAATGATACTATTTCTACCATGGAAGAAATAAGCTCTGCATCGAAGGACATACAAGATGAAGATGGACAAAGTAATGATGTAACGGATGTCCCAAGTGGATCTGAAGGAGACATTATAGAAAGGGGCTCTGAGCAACAAGAGACAGGGCCATCATCTAGTGATACAGCAGAACCCCAAAGCGATGAGGGACCTTCAGTAGCTTCTCGTATAATGCAGGAAGGTGATGGGGATTCAATCAGTGTTGAAGGAATGGTTATTTCAGAGGAAGAACGAGATGGCCATGCTGAGAGAGTAAACGAACAGGTACTGTACGAGAAAAGTATGAACTTGTTCGCAAATTTATTTCTTGGTTCAAAACATGACATACAGTAAACTGAGACTTCAGATTTGAAGTTGTGAAAGGCCCATTAACCCTCTTCTTCACTCGTTTCATACAAGGCTCATAATTTACCTATTACGCATGTTCCTATATGATTTCCAAGCCCATCCCACACGGCTTACCGCCTCATCTCTCATGAGCTGAGACAGAAAGGTCTTCTCGGAAGTGACATAATTATGTATTCATTTGAAATACACAGTGGATATGAAACGTATKATAAAATCCACCATACTTTCTGTCGTTGCAGCAATTTATGAATATTCCAGGAGTTCTATATTAACTGGATACATGTATCTAATTAACATACTTTTGCTGTATCATTAATTTTTGGTCATAGCTTCTAAGTTCTACGTCTTTGAACCYGACAAGGCTATTGAAATTGGGTTGTATACAGCAAAGCAGCACACATTGTTTTTAAGGGGGTTTGATAAAATTTGAATAAAAGGGTTTTTCATGAG